CTTTGGTTTTGCATTAAAAAAAGTTAGACTGCGAATTTGTAACCCACCCCCAATCCCCGTAAATACTCTCTGCATTTCGCTTAATTTTATTAAAATTTTGCATATTTGTGTAATTTTTTGCGACAGCCACAGATATTTTTTATGAGCGCAGGACGGCATGTTCGAGTGTTTCCTTATCGTGGTGCTAAAATGCGAAGTGCTTATTTGAATATTTTATAAATTTTTCATTCGCGCCTTATTTCGCAAAATATTTTCGCACACATTCTTTGGACAACTTTGACATTGAAGCGTGCGCATGTGTGTGTGAGTGGGTGTACTTCCTCTGCGTGTGTGTGTGAGTGTGTGGCTATATGCTAAATGTCTGAAACACGTCTGTCTGGTTGCTAAAGGCCAGCACACATTATGCTCCGGTCCTGGCTCCTGCACTTGCCCCAGGAACCTCTTCGCAAAAACCCCCCTCCATTTTCCCCTCGGCCACAGAGTAAATTTGCATACACACCAACACACAGGCCGTGTGTGGTTTGGCATTCATTTTCAGTTGAAATTTATGCAATGGCTTAAATAAGCGCAAAAATGCCATTTTACCCACAGCAAGTGACAAAATGTATGTTTCGCTGGGCATAAAAAAATAATTATGCAACGAACATAGCATATTTTCGGGACCCCCAAGTTAAAGTAAAAGCTGGAGGAACACGGAAAAAAAATCATGTTTGAAATGTATCAAATTTTAATCAAATAAATCTGTTACCAATTTTTCATATTTATTTCATAATATAAAAAATATTTTTTTTTTTTTTTTTTTTTTTTTTTTTAACTTTTTGTTGTTTTTGGCGACCTGTTTTGTACTTAATGTTTTGTTTGGCTGGCTCAAGGTCATGGATCCATGTAATAAAACACAGTTTTTGTTTCCAATTTTTCCCAATATATTTCGGTCCCGCATCGGAGTCCGTCTTCAGGGGCTAGCAACAACACGCAAATTATAAACAACGTATAAAACTAATGTTACAAAAAATACATACAATTTTTGTTACGCGACAAAAAAACGAAAAAATCGAGCGTCTGCCGCGGAGTCAAGAGAGTAACTAACCTACGTATTTTTGTTTGTCCAGTAAGTGTCTGTATATATGTGCGACGTTTTCTGTGTCTGTCTTGAAATTAAGTCGAATGTTTGTCGGTATGTTGATGATGTGCAGCATTTCTAGTGTGAACCGTTTCTTGTAATGTTGTTCTTGTTGTACCACACCAGCTTCATCGAAATTGGGCAAGTGTCGTTCGCTCGCACAGTGGGCTGCAAGTGCTGTTTTTGGCATATTTGAATTATTGTTGTTTTTTATGTCGGATTTGTGGCCCGCTATTCTTGTTTTTAGTTTGGCTTTAGTTGTTCCAATATATATTTTATTGCAGTTTTCTGAGCCGTTACCAGCACACGGAATTTTATAAATAATATTGTGTTTATCGAATATTTCAATTTTGCTTTTCATATTGCTAAATATTGATGCCATTGTTTTTGTAGGTTTATAAGCTAATTGAATTTTGTCACGGTCATAAATGTTTGATAAGGTAAGGCGTTCGGAGAATCTAGGAATGTATATAAAGGATTTGTATGTTTTGTTTTCTTGTAATTCTGGATGTTTGTGTTTCTGGTTAATATTTTTAATTATTTGATGAATAACCTTCAGTGGAAAATCATTCTTACTTAAAATGTTTTTTATAACTATTTTATTATCTTCGTGGAAAATTTTGTCACTTGTATTAATAATCCGGTTGGCTAGATTCTGTGCTGTGTTTATTATAACATTTCGTGGGTGTTTTGAGTAGTAGCTAATTATTCGTCCTGAGGCGATAGGCTTTTTGTACCAGTTTAATTTTATTTGGTTGTTGATCCGGTGTGCACATGCGTCTAGGAAGGGAAGTTTGTTGTCATTTTCTATTTCAATCGTAAATTGTACGTCTTTATGATATGTGTTTAATATTTTTAATGTATTCTGTATTTCCGTTTCCTTTACAATAGCGAAGAGATCATCAACGTATTTGGTAAGGAATTTTGTTTGTTCAATTGGTTTAAGAATTTCCTCCATAATAATGTCTGCTATTATTGGTGATGCAGGAGATCCCATGGGAAGTCCTTTCAATTGTGTGTATATATCATTTTCCCACTTAAAATATCTGTTTTCTGTAATGCAGAAGCTTAAAATGTCCATGAATAATGTTTTTGGGATTTTTGTGTGTTCTTGTATGTCTTTCCATTTGGACTGTATTACTGTTAGTGCTAAGCCAGTCGGTATGCTGGGAAACAACGAAACTACATCGAAGGACACCATTTTTTCGTCATCTGTTATATATGCGTCATTAACCTTATTTTTAAATTCTATTGCACTTTTTATGTTAAATTTAGAATTTAATTTGTAAGATATCCTTCAACGGGTTTTAATCCTTTTTCTTTCTGTAGCTGTTAGTACCTACTAAATATTTGATTTTTATCGCACTGTAAATAGAGTAGCAGGTGCTTGAGCAATTTTGGGCAAAGTTAAACTTTATGCAATTGGTAAAATGTTTTCAACAGCATTTGCATTTGCCTGCGGCCTTCGGGCCACTCCGGACATTGGACCCTGGGCAGTGGATATTTACACATTTGTCATGAGCATGAGCACTTCTCAACTAGAGACCACCGACCGCATTTAGTTTCGTTGTTGATTAAGTGCCAGAGTGCAAGTTGTGGCCGGCGAAACTTTGCCTTTGGTCTTGACCAAGCTGGAAACTGGGTGTTCTTAATAAAAACAAGATGTTCGGTTTCATCTGGCACCTTCCAGGAACATCTTTCCATTGGCAGTTGCGACGCCCACAACTCCGCAGCCCCAAGACAAACATGTCCGGGGCGCAACGTGTCGTATACTTGATTTTATATGCAAAGTACTTGCAGCGTTTTATGTGAGATTCAATTTCCCACACTGCCTCGCTTTGCTGCTTATGCAAAATCAATAAAGAGCATGCGGAGGGGGAAAATGGGGGAGAAAGCAGAGTGCAGGGAAAATATTTACGCATGTCAAAGGGGTTATAACACCTAACCGGTGTGTCTGTCCCCCGGCGAAATCGAATCCAACTGAAGACAAAGAGCAGTACAAAGTGATGTGATGCGAGGCGAAGCGACGTGATGGCTCCATTTCGTGAAAAGAGTTTGGGACCATCAGAAATCAATTTCCTGTGGCGCCAAAAGGGAAAGCGTAAAACTTTTCCGAAAAGTTAAAGCCAAGATGAGGGAAAGTTCTTCCTTCTCCCTGCTGCCTGCTTGCTGGCAACTTTTACCTGTCGCTTTCGCAATAAAAACATTGCCAGCTGCTGCCACAATCAGTCAAACAATCAATAGTTTGATTAGGTTTCTCTGCCACATGTTGACTTTAAGCGAAAAATTAGCCCTAAGCCTCCCTCCGAAAAAACTTTTCCGCCACCCCTGCCACAACAGATAAACAACAACAAAAAAAAAGAAACTTTGAACTGTTGTCGGTTATCTGTGGGGGCATAGAAAACTTTTAGATACAAAACGAAACAAAAATAAATATATTTAGAGATAGAAGGGGCATACATATGCTTACTGCCCGTGGCACTCAAGTTGACATTTATACGAGAGAGCATGCAACAAGAAAAACAACTCAAAGTCAAAATGGCCAAAATATGCACATAAATTTCATTTCCGAATAAAAACAACAACAAGGGGGTGGGCAGCTGGGAATGAAAATGGGACCGGAAAAAGTTGCAAATGTGCAAAGATAAGCGCATGCTGCAAAGCAACAACATCGACTGGCATACTGAGATGTAATGAAATTAAACAAATTGCCTGGCTCTGCCCTGGTTACCTGCCTTTTGAATCATTGTCAGCGAGTGGCAAAGTTTTTCGCCCTCATCCCCTGACAAATCCCACGACATACAAATGAGTTGTCTTGCGGGGCGGGAAAAGGGGAAATACAGAAAAAAACCCAGCGGAAAATGGGAAAAATAGAGAAAATAAGGAAGCGGCTGCTGCTGCCGCTGCAGAGCAAACGACAATTCATGTAAATTGCTTAATTTATTAGACTTTTTCAGGGAAAAGCAGGCTGTCCCCCGTTCCCCACCTAAAAAAGCTTCCTGACTTTGACAGCGTCGCGACTTTGGCTTAAGTATTAGCAATTGTTGTTGCTGCCGGCTTTTCTATTTGCGCTCCGCTACAATTTCCTGACGGGCTTTTGTCTTGGTGGAAAAAAGTTTCACAGCATTTTGCCCCACGTTTTTCCTCTTGTTTTCTTCAGTTCAGTTTGGTTCTGTTTGGTTCGGCTTGGTGTTTTCTGTGTTCTGCGAATTTGTTATCTTAATTCATGTCATTTAAAACAGCGAAAGAAACGCAGAAAAGTCTGCCACCATTTGTTTCTAAATAAAACTCATGGCAATTGAATTCATGGTGTTCAGGTGGAGGGGGTCTGCAAACTTTTGTGTAATACGCGGACAGATTAAAAGTTTTTTTTTTCTCCCCCAACCTCAGTCACATGTATAGCGTATACACCGCCTGGGCCGGGCTCTCGTTTCACGTTACGCATACGCCTCGTTGGCTGGCGAAGAAAACGCGGAGCGGGCGTATTCAAGCCGTGTCAGCTTAATGGCAGCATTCATACAAATCACGGTTGCCCGCCCGCCGCTTCCGGGCTGCCATTGCACTTTTCCATAGCTGCCTTCTTGTTTTCCATGTTCTTAGTTTTTTTTCCCCCGCTTTTTTTCTTGTTTTTCGGGGGCTGCAGCATGAATTTATACGTCAGAAATTCAAGAAAATGCACAGGAAAAGAGGCGGAAAACAGCGCGGCAGCATAAAGTGCAAGAAAAGCGCGCCGCACTCACGAACACTTGCAAGTATGGGAACACATGGCATTACTGCAAAAAACTAGGTTACAAGTTGCAACGTGAAACCCAGACGTGATGTCTGAATTTTTTAAAGCGGCCCCCTTTAATTTTGAGGAGAAAAATGGTTTGAAACATACCCAGTCATAGGGAAAATTCCGGTACATTTCAGTTGAATATTCGGAGGATTGGGTTTTTCGTATGCCGTATGCAGGAGTTCGGAGATCACTCGCTTTTCACAAATACGCGTCGTCACTCGGTTTTCTTTCGTCACATTTGCCGGCTTGGCCAGAACTGCTTCGCTTTGTTGGCTATTTTCAACTGGCAAACGATTTCTTGGCCCCCGACTTGGCCGGGATTTTCCGCAATTCGCCGCAGCAGCTTCGGGGAAAAAACCGAACCTGCACGCGAAAGAGAGATGCGTCGGGGATTTTTCCGACTTTCTCTTCGCGTTAAGCGGTATAACAGTTTTTCGTGCTCCAGTTTTTCCTCCTGGCGTCTGTGTGTGAAATTGTGTCATTAGGTGCATTTGTTTTCGTTCTCCTGACCACCTAGCACCACCCACTAAGCACACCCGGCCCACTCAGCCCTTCAACCCCTTCTGTTGTTGCTGTTTATTTGCTTCATCTTCATGCCGTGTCACTTTTCAAGTGCGAGTGTGTGTCAACCTGGCGCCGCTCATCTAACTAAATGCCAACAATTATGTTTTGGAGTCTCATTAGTTGCAACTTAAAGTGTTCTAATGTGTTGCCGTGTGTGAAGAACGATGCCGTTAATGATGTAAGCGGCAGCTGTGCGCTGGATACTGAAAGCGGAAAGCTGGATGCTGAAAGCAGAAAGCTGAAAACCGAAAGCCGAGCGCCAAAAGCTGAGTGAGACGGGTGCAGGAGCCAAGAGCCAACAGATGCCAGCGGAATCAAGTCAAGTGGGCTCTATATGCCCACATATATATATTTTGGGGTCGAGTTCGTGCCACGCGGCGTTTTGTTAATTGGTATTACCTGACCCACACCGTGAAAAATGTATTGGGAGCTCGTCAATGAGGTTTAGAAAAAATTTGGATTAATGGCGGCAATGGCATTTTATTTTTTTAAATTTCAAATCTGAAATAAACAAAATAAATTTCAGTCTAAAATGCAGTCGAAATATTTAATAATTAATTAGTTTTATTTCCTGGCTTTTAAATTAGATTATGAAGTCACTTTTAAATGATAGACGATGAAAATTAATTTATTTTTAAAATTATTTGTAGATATTTTAGTTACGTTAAAGCTAATGCTACTTTTTTAGAGTGTTTTTACTTTCCACTTCACTCATGATTTCTAAAACACAAAAAGTTTAAATCAATAATTACTATATATTAAAAATGAGTTTTCATAAATGTTCTCATTTTGTGCTTTAGTGCCTTGGGGTGACTAGTCACGAGTGATTTATTGAGACAATGGAGTGCAATACACAGTAAGCATTACTTTATCGATTAAAGCCAACCTTTAGTTTTGCTTTGTGCAGCAATTTGTGTATGGAAATTCATCTGTGCCCGTAACCCCGAAAGGACCCGATGACAATGCCAGGGCACTGAGTGAAAAACAAAGCGAGTGGCACAATATGGCACAACTAATCACGCTGACGTTGACAGAAAATGCACTAAACAAAGAGCCAAATAAACCGACGCCCAGCCACACCAAACGCCGTTCGCCATACACCGTACGCCATATGCCATATGCCACCGGAGGGGGTCAGGCCATAAAAATCGCATGCGAGCAGGGGCTGGTTTAATGAATGCCCGGATCTAGGGATCTGGGGATCCGGGGGTCCGAGAAAAACGGAACCAGCGCACACAGGTTACCAGGTTGGGTTCAGGTTGCTGTCGGAGCCAACTAATTTAAGCTGCGCCTTGTTATAATTACGCCGAGCAGCAACAAAGCTGTTGGAAAATGATGCGCACGTGACATCCGGCACGGTTCTGCCGCCGTCCGTCCTTCCGTCCGAAAGTCCATTGCAAGTCAAAAGGCGAAGGGAGAAAAGCCGGAGAAGGCCACGGAGCCGGGAAAATCAGCCATCAGCCAACAGTGAAAGCCACAGCGTCAAAAAAAGTTAGTACGCCAGGTTGGGCAGGGGGGTTCGACTATAAGATACCCGGTACTCACTCTCCGCGAAGTGAAGGCATTAATCTACTTTGTCCCAACCCTAATAAAATTCATGGGGTATGTGAAACAATTTTTTAGTTTTTAGAAAGCTTGAGAAATTATTTGTTTTGTAATTAAGAATTTTTAAATATTTTCAGTAGTTTTTTCATGGTCACCATTTTTTTCCTTTTCAGCATACATTTGCGTAAATACGATATTTCCTTGAACCCTAAAAAATACTGGGTATAAAAACAAAGGGCAGGCCAACGAAGTCACACGCTCCGAAAGCAAACAGAGCAAAATGCAGTCTTTGCGGGTGTAAAATAACCAAGCCCCTGAACCTTTCCCCTGCCAGCTTAGTTTTTAGAAAATTATGAGTGGGTGGCAACGGGCGTTTCTGCATTTTTTATACAATTTTCTGGGATTACTTGCACTCGGCGATGGCAGCGGGCAAAAAAAAGGAAAAGCGGCGGAGGGACTCAAGAAAATTAGTCGCGCTTTTCGCTCGCGTCGGAAAGGAATAAAAAGTGCAGCCAAGGAGTGAAGTGTAAATTTACTTCCGCTGCAAAATGTGGGCGTGCTGCCCGTCCGCTGACAGCTGACTGGGGGCGGAGGGCGTGGCCGGTAGGTGGACAGAGCGGAAAAAAATGCAACTTTTTCTAATTAAGCGTACGTGCGACTGTCAACGGCTTCAGCTGCTGAGGCAGCGTGCTCTTTACTTGTATAACTTATTGCCGTTGACAATAGTTTTAATTGAAAAGCGCCCAGCTCCCCGGTTCGCGACGTGTATGGGCATGGGCGTGGGTACGGCAAATGCGGACAGGGGCGAAAACCCAACTCCTGAGCTCACCTCTGACAATTCAATCAACGCTACAAATGCTGACTCGTTTATTTTTCAAGATGCCCCGCAGCAAGACAGCAGAAAAGGTACTGAGAAAAAAGGTTTATGTGTGTAAGTAATAATTTATTGGTGGAAAAATTAATTTTAATGCAATTTAATAAATATATATTATTGTAGCCCTACTTGCAGTGAGTAACTAAAATTTAGATGAGCGTTTGACTTCTTCAGATATAGAGACTTAAATAGTAATTAAAATAATAAAAATTCATAATATAATTTATTTAGTATCTACACTTAATGTTTAAACAGATAATAAAGTAGTGATTGATTATACAACCAATTTTGTATAATTTTATTGGATACATTTTTATTGAAAACACAGCAAAGTGTTTATATATTTTAAAGACACCTATTCATTAAAATAATAATTTTTTTATAATGTCAAGAAATATTCAAAACATTTTCCTGATATTGTTCAGTGAGCAGCTTTTGAGTGAGGACAGCTTAGCCGACATTTGTCTTTGTAAGAGCTTCTTGCTCGGGGCCCAAGCACAAGAACAAGAGCAAGAACGCTGTCTTGGCCGCCACTTAGCTGCTGACCAACTGCAACTTCGGGCCAAGAGTTGTGCGCGGCGAGGCCCTAATTGAAGTTCTCATTGATGTTGTTGCTCCGCCAGGGGGGGTGGCAAAAGGGAGGTGGGTGATGGGTAGTAGATATGTAATGGGTGGTTGGGTGGTCTGGTGGCATAACTCAGCCGCATGCTAAATCAAGAAGCGTCTCAGCTCGGAATCCATTTCCCATAGTCATGCACTGGCAGCGAACATTTATCAAGATGATGGCACATGCACAGTTTACCTGTGCGCCATAAATAAGTGAGGCACCTCTCCGCGCCTCGTCCTTCTGATCCTTCGAGAGCGATGCAATCAGCGCAGGGTTCCCACGCCCCCGGCCACCACCTTCCACCGCCGCCCCCATTTTAGAGCCCGCTGTCTGAGAAGGCGGCTGCAAGTTTCTTAATTTTCGTTTGCCGTGAATTTGCTCACACATTCGCCGAGTTTTGCGCCTACGTCGGGCTACTTTTTATCCTTCCTTTGGGAAATACTATGCACTGGGAGGTAAAATGGGTTCCACATTTCAGTAATTGCTATTTGATCTTAAGAAAAAACCAAGAAATATGGTATTTCCTTTAAAACTAATTTGAAACATTTTTGCAAATATTATAGACCCTCATCGTAAAAATCAACAAACGCTAATGCAAATGCCAGCTCATCATCTAATTAAAGCTGGTATAGATAAATAATATTTATGCCTTTTGATTGTTTCATTGTTTACTTTGGATCTCCAGAATATCCCTGGTTTTGGGTCTTCTAACAGTGCAATCCTGTGAATATTGTTGTGCAGCTTGGCGTAGCAGAAAATCGCTTAAGATGCTGCTCCGTGCAAAGTTTACCCCCTTCTTTAAGGGGGAAGTGGGGTTGCAGCCCCCCGGATAAGCGTAACTCCCACCTGGCCAAGTTTTACGACTGCGACTGCCTCAGTCATCAGTTTTGAAGTTGAAGTTTTGCCGGGTTTGCATCTCGCTTTTCCGTATCTCTCACTGCCTTTCCGTATCTTTCCGGCTCAACTTCATCGACATCGTTTACTTTTCGATTCGTTTCGTTTTGCAATCTGTAATTACGAGCAGCAGCCGCTTTTGATGCTTTTTCGGTTTAACTTTCAACAGCTGCCAAGGAGTCTCCATCTCCATATCCTGGAGGATACCAGAATCCCCTTTCTCCACTTGAAATATAATCGACATTGTCGATTGGCGCGTGTGTTTTTGTGGTTTTTGCTTGGAAAAGTTTCCTGTTAGTTTTGTTTTGGTTGGCATTTCTAATGCCTGGGAAAGGAGTTTTTTGATTGCGCCGAAAGGATTGCATATTTTATGATGATGTGCCTCTGTTTGGCTTGGTATTAGAGTGTTTTTGTTTGCTACGGAAAGTGCGTTTCATCATTGGCTGGCTGCTGGCTCATTAAGCTGCATTTGATATGCATACGAAATTTCCGCCACGGATCCCCAAGAATTCTTTGACTGACGCTAATTAGAAAAGTTGGCCCAATCACGGGTAACACTTCCGCCTTTACCCTTTTTTTAAACTTTGTTTTTGCCCGCCATTAACGCAACATTGACGCTAATAGAGTCGGCGACTTTATCGAGGACTTTGGCAATAAGAGTTTGCCAACAAGTTTAAAATTGTCTGCATGCCTTTCGATGGCGGTAGAAAAAGGGTAAAAAATCAAGGCGCAAATGACGGTTCACTTAATTTGCATTTAATTACAAAGTTCTACAAAGACCTCAACTGAAAAAAATCTCCCTCATTGCCATGCAAATATTTCCACAGATACCAAGCAAAAAGTATAAATAAACGAGCAAATACTTGTATATAAATATCATTTGTTTGGTTTAGATGTTTATGTTTTATGCGAAAACATTTCACATATTCATTGGCTGCCACTTAAAAGATTAAAAAACATTTGATGTGGGATCTGAGAGGACGGAGGCGAGTTATATAAAGTTTTTGGACCGCAGCTAAGCAAAATAAAAAATATTCGCAAAAATCAGTTGATAAACAGCTCACGAAAAAGCGCTAAAAAAGAAAACAAAAACGGCACACAAGAAAATTGAAGCTTAATGAAAAGCATCAAGTAAAAACATGAATATCGCTTAAATATATATTGAAAAAGTTTTGCTTATGAATTTCTTTTTATAGGGATAGGAACGGCTCCTTAATGAAGTGAGTTCTGGATGCTGCCGCAACAAAGGGCATTCAGAAATTAGCATTAGCACGCAGCCCCTCTTCCTTGACCCACATTTTAGTTGGTGCCTCCGAATCGACTGACGTGCGTGAACTTGCGCATTTCGTGCACG